ATGGAGTAAATCTGTGTGTCATCATCATTTTTACAGACTGAAACCAAGGGAAAATGATTGAAATTGGGTTCAATTCATTGGATTCTTAAATGTGACAGTATCTTTAGATAAAGATAGTGGAAAATAAGAAGTAACAAAGGAAGGAAATAAAAGTCTCAGAAGTAGAGTGAAAAAAGAAAACTTTCTTAAAAACACAAAAGTTAAGATTCATAATAGAGGCCAGAGCAGACAGGAAGTAAAATAGTGATCTGATCTTCGAAAGTGCTACTGTTATAAATTATAATGCATAATGTATGGCATATCTGATATGCTGGATATATATGTAACCACCAAATGTATTATGACATACAAGTAGAGAATCAATGGTCTAAAATGCTAATTTTATACAAAAAAATATTTCTCAAATACTTTCTACAATGTACAATGACCATTGCTTTTTTTGTTTTTTGTTTTCATTAAAAAAGGATTTCATTAGAAATATACAAGGAAGCATGCTTACTTCAGATATATATGAAAATTGGCTTAGTGTCCAAGATGAAAACTCTGTGCTTGGAAAAGTTTCTACCATACAAAGGTAATGATAGAGTAAGACCAAGATAGAAGCAATACGTTTTGAAGGTACATAGGCTTGTATTTACAGGATTATAAACTGGAAAGATATTGTATTCCAAGAGGTTCCCTTTGCTTAGATATGTATAGTCACCCTATACACAGGTGCATTGCTCAAGCAAGAGTGTTGTACCATGTCTGTAATCCCACCATTTGGGAGTCTTCTACATCATAACTATCATGGTTTGGAAGACAGCCTATGCTACACAGTTGTGTGCAGGTCAGCCTAGAGTATTGGTTTGAGTTCCTGTATGAGATAAATTAAATAAGTAAGTGTGTATAAAAATTTGTGGATTATTTGCATCCTAAAATTATTACCATAGCATTGTGAATATTGTACCTGTTAAATGCATGTCATTGATTAGAACATGAAGCTATTACTCAGTTTGTCTTTCTTAAGTAAAACTACCTAGAGAGGTGTGGGTCAGGTATATCTTTGACTTCTTTTGAATCATTTTCCTGTTCGATGATGCTCCATAGAATGATTTCTTAGATAACAGAAACTTTGAGCTCCCATTTCTACCCAATACCCCAGCATCTCTGCCTTACCTACAGCAGCTTTTTATTACTGCATCATGTAGGGTCACTAGTGTGCTTTATAGTCCTTATGTTCCAGTGTGTCACAAGCGTGTTATATCTATTCATACTACAGTAGATATTAAATATGTCCTCATTGTGGCTGGAAAGAAGGTTCACTATTTAACACAGTATATATTTCCATACACAGAACACACATGGACTGTAACTATCTTCATTCATTCTGTTTCTAGGGAACCTGACACCTTCTTCTGGGTTCTGTGGGAAGCATGTAGTACACAGATATTCATACATAATTTTAAAATTTCCCATAATTCTATAGGGAGAAGTGATTTGCAGAAAATATTCTAGGCAATACTTTAGCTGTATATTCTTACTTCTTTTGAACTCTCATTATTATTCTGATTATACAATTAGCTGATCGACAAAACACTTATGCCCATGTTTCTTAGTATTTAGAGTTTTGTAAGTAACATTACTTGTTAGACAATCAACAGTAAAATATTCCTTTTTCTTTGTATAGTATTCCATTGAATATGCCACAACCATACTTCCTCTTGCTCAACCATCTTATCCATGAGTTTTTAAAACTTAAAACGTCTTCCAGGAATGACCTAGACACTTACCTCTTATCTCTCTGCACCTCCCCTCATGTGCTGTGGGGTCTGACTTGCAGGAACTCATTATTTGGGAGGGACCTCTTCAAACAGGTAAGGAGATCTCCATTTTCCTTTTGATAACAAAGTCCTCATTGTGATCCAGGAATTGGGACTATCTCAGAAAGGTCATTGATGTTAAAGGACAACCTAGGATTGCATTCTTCTGGAGTGGAAGATTTATTGATCTATTTCAGGAAGGATTGGATAGGGAGATAGTTAATGTAGCTTGAAGAAAATGAATAACTTCTTTTTGGTTCTTTTGTTATTTCCTTTTCTTCTTTGTTTTCAGATATTGATTTTAGATATTGACGTTTAGCCAACAAAATACTGTGTGTCCAAGAAGACTACAGTGAAGTTGAAAAATCCAGATTAACTAGAGATTTGTTTGTTTTCTATTGTACCCATACTTAGAGCACATGATAGTTGTGCTTTATTGTTATGATATCATTATAATTGTGAAATATTCAACCCAACTGTATTTTGGTCATATAAAAGCACATTGCATACAATTACAGACACTATATGATATTAGGAATAATGATTAAAAAGCAGTATATATGATATATTTTCTATTTAGCACCAAATCCTACTTATATAAAAAAGAATTGTTTATGTTTGCATTAGTTCAGGTACAGGCTATTTACTTCAGGTTTTCTGTAGCTCTTGATTTTATTATAGACCTATCTGCTTTAATATTTGTATTACTTAATTTGTTTACTTTATATCCTGATTGCAGTACCCTCCACTAAGTCTGTTCCTCACAACCTCCTCCTCCCTTCTTTTAAATTTAATTTAATTTTTTTTTTTAATTTTTATGGGAAGTTACCAGGGGAGAGGGTAGATTTGGAAGGACAGGAAAACAAGTGTTACTGGGATGCATGATGAGAAATTCACAGAGAATCAATGAAGAATATACATTTTCACAAGGAAAAAAAAGATAGACAATAAAAAGAAAAGAAAGCAAGGGTATATTTTAACTAGTAGTTTCCAGGAATAAGGTCCACAGGAAGGAAATCATGGTGATGTTACTCACAATGAAGAAGTCGAGGGAATAGCTTGTTCAATTTAGAATGTGGCTTAATTTGCTACTATTGCTATGATAAAACACTGTGAAAAGCAACTTATGGAGGACAGGTTATACTTAATGATTTACTTCTAGTTATCAGTTAACTACTGAGAAATGTCAGGGCCCAAACTGAAGCAGGGTAGGAACATGGAGGCAAGAACTGAAGCAGAAACTCTGTAAGAGTTGTGCTTCCTGTCCTGCACCTCATATCTTTCTTTGTCTGATTGATAGCTCAAGGGTGGCACCATCCTGGAGATCTGAGGCCTACAATTTCCATTGTTAATCAAGACAACATCCCATAGACTTCCCTACACACTAGGACAATCTGATGTAGGCATTTCCTCAACTAAGATCCCTCTTCTCACCAACTTCTTCTCTTAGAAATTTTTCTATTTCTTTAATAAAACACCAGGAGTAAGGCAACTTATAGAAGTAAATATTTATTTGGGATTAGATCGGTAGAGAGATTACATTCCTTCAAAGTCATGAGAGAGAAGCATGGCTGCAGAAAGAAAGGACAACCAAACAGGAATCAGAGACCTGGGGGCTCTCATCTTAGGCAGCAAACACGAAGCACAGAGAGTACACAGCAAATGTCACCTAGCTTCTGTAATGTTAACTCTAACCAATGACATACTTCCTCCAGGAAAGCCAAGCCACTTAAAACACCCAAAAGGTTTCACAAAGATGGTATCATATATTGTGGTGCCTAAAATTAGACAGGCATCCCATTCAAACCATCACAATGAAACTCCACCTCCTCCCCACACCCTGCAAAAAAAAAAAAATCAACAATTCGAGAAACCTTTGAATTCCTTAATTTGATTTACTCACAGGTTTTCTGGAAGCATATCTGTTCTGAAATGTTGCTTTGCTTTACTAGCTCCTCCATTCTTTGCAAGATGTATGAAATTTTAACTATGTTATGTATGTTGCAAAAGAGTCTCCATTTTAGACAGAGACTTCATTTCACAGGTTCATATCTGCTTGTAGTAATTGCTATTTTCTTCATCATTTTAGTTGTCAATTTTTTATTGATTTCAAATTTGTAAAGTGCTTGAAATGACAGAGAATCTTGTTTTTGCCTTGTGGTATTACAGATGTCTTTTATACAAATCATGATTGACAAGAATGTAGATGTTTTGGGAGATGATGACACTACAATTTGTAAGGATATTCAAAAGAGGTCTGATGACCTTAAGATGTCACTAAATACTGCTGGTAAGTCACCTGTTATGAAAAGGCCATAGGTGGGCACAGTGGGAAAACCTCCAATGCTAATACTGAAGAATTAAAGATTTCATCAGTTCCCTCTCAGGAGGAAGGTCCCACATGTAAGAGAAGTTTTAATTAGTCATCAAATGAATGGAAGTATGATATCATTGCCTGATTTCATAAATTTTTAAATATCAGAGCAGCATTGGGGCATATCATGATATTAGAGCATGAGAAAAGGGTTTTTTTGAACAACAGTTTAATTAAGTTATATATGAATTATATATATGTATACAGACAGACACGCATACATACATATATATATACACACACACTTACATACATGTAAATACATACATGTATGTATGACAATGACAAAAGGACTCCTTATTTAGCCCCTGTATGACTTTCAGAATTTTTCCTCCTATATTTCTCACATTTCTTCCCATGGTCCATAAGTTATATAAGATATCTTGGATATAAAATTGTTTTTTTCAAAAAAAAACACTTAAATCAATTATTTGATTTAAAAATCCATTAAACATACTACAAGACAGAACCATGTGCCCACAAATTATTTATCCTTGTGTAAATACACGAATGTTTGTTTAATTCACTTTGAGAGATAATCTTGCCAAATACTTAGCATTTGCTATAAATTTTAAGCTGCACAGGATCCATTACAACACCTATGTGAAGAATAATAAAGATGCTAAATAAAACATACATGGTTTAACAGGTAACACCATTCAAAATAATTTTCTGTGTAAAGTTCAGGAAGTTCACTGAAAACGTAGTCTTATCTGAAGTGGGGTGAATCTATCATCTGAGAATGTTTGTCTAATGAAGACATTTTATGTTTCATTTAGGATGGGACAATGAAAAAACTTCAACATATAATGTTCCACAAAGGAACTATTTGTTACAAACATTTTCACTCACTATACTTACTTTTATGTTGTATATTATATATATGTATCTACTGTAATTAGTTTTATTAAAGTGTATTATTGTTTAGCATCCAATGTGCCTGATTCATGATTCTCCATAGTCTTTTGAAAATGGCATTTTCAGTAGTCTCCTGTACCTCTGTTGCTCAGGCACCTGTATTTATGTGACAGATCCACTAGAATCAATTATTATTTCTTTTCCACACTACAATCAAAATGACATTCTAAGTACTGCTCAAGAAATGAATGTTGAGAGTTTATCTGACCAAATTCTCTAGATTCTCACCATAAAACAGTCCCCATTGCTATGAATCAACTATGTAGTAGTACAATTAAATCAGACTCCCTCCTGTGCATTGTAGCAACTGTTTTTTGAAAAAGAATTTATGTTCCTATTTTTGTGAATAGGTACTCTAGATAATTATTTTCATTAGAAAAAATAGCTCATTATTTGAGGGCTCAGGGTATCATCATACAGCAGTTCTGATGTCAGGAGGTTGGAGCTAGTGAAGTCGTTCACCTAGCTGAGAAGCAGAGGATGATGATGTTCATATTCAGTGAGCTTCTTTTATACATTCCAGGAAGCTTGCCTAAGGAATAGTACAGGCCAGTTACAGTGTTATTTTTGCCTACATCAGTTACTTAAGCATAGACAGAATCTAGTGACATTAAATATTCCCTCAGAGTTGTGCCTTTGTGAGAATCCTTTGTCATAGTTATAAATAAAATTCCATTGATGATCAACATTAATCCTCACACATGATAAATTTAGAGGTGAATCACAATTTTAAGAATATAGGAAATGGTCTGAAACAATAGAT